GTAAAGCCTGTACAAATATTAGAAATCGTGAATATAAATAATTGGGAATCATGTAAAAAAAAAAAAAAACAGTGCACATTTCATTTATCTATTATAACATTTATGTTGTTTTGTTCGCTTGGCTGTTTTCTTATAAAAGTTCAAAAATTTGTCAAGTTTTTCGTCAGTTGTCTTTTTTAATTATATGATGTCATTACGTTGCTGTCTTGCCGCCAGCCAATCGCTGCATTGCTGATCGTGGTTTCGAGTATCGATACATACATACCTTTTAAACCAACCCATGAACGCGCAATTATCTCATATAACTCAATCCAGCCATACTAATCATCAACAACAGGTGCGTTCGAAGAACCGAATTAGCCAGATCCTGATTAGCGCGATGATATCATCTTGGATGTGACATTTCATCTCGGATGTAATAAGCGACGTACGAAGAACGGGCCCCTGATCTATTTCAATGCACTGTAATAAACCCCTCATGTAGATCCTCACTCATTTTGAATAAACATTGTAATGCTACATTTTAAACATGATCAAAATTTAGACCAAGATTTCTTTAAAAACATTCATAATACTCACCTGCTTCTGTTTCTGAGCTTTCTTAAGGGCCTCAAGCCTTCTCTCCTTCAGTAGCTCCAGCTCATCTTCATCCATGCGCTCCAACTTCTCCAGTTCGGCATCCAGTTGCTCTTCCACCATCCGTGCCGAATGCAGCACCTGCTGCTCCAGAGCTTTCGCAACAACCTCCATGGACTGACTGGCCATTTCCTCTCACTTCCTAACTGCCTCTTAGAAATACAGCACCATTTTGGTTGCAATTACATACTACTGACAAGTGTAACATCCCATTCAAAAAGAGTAAACAGTGAACTTAAAAATTATTCAAATAAATTAAAAAAAATTAAATCTTTATACTAGATTAACTTTAAATAACGTTTTATGACACGTCTAAAAACAACATGGCATTTGTGCCTACAATTTTTTTTTTAAATCAATTTAACTAGTATCTTGTCTGTTAAAATCAACAATAAGCTACTTGGAAAACAGTTCTGAATTGACACTTTTAAAGTGCATACAGCATAACATGTAACGAGGCAAATGCTTTTATGTAATGAAAGGTGTGGCACACAACCAATAGTCGCCTGGGTTTTATGGGCATTCTGTTTATTCACAACAATAGAGATACTGTTAGTGGGCCAGCGCTTGACCAGAGCCGCATAAAGACAAGCATGCCAACTTGGTTTACTTTCTCCAGTTCCTCGGTCTGTGTCTCATCGACAGTTGATCATTTCAACAGGCTGTAAGCTTTTGTAAATAAGGACTGTTGAGTTTAAAACTGATGCGAGGGCGTTGTGTCAAATCGTGCTAGTGCTAGCGTCTTGCTTTGGCTTCCAAGCACTGTGGTAACGGCAGTTTTGATCTCTAACAAAGACTAATAATTAGCGATTGCCTGGTTAATCGGAAAGAACACTCTCCAGAAAGCAACGACAAACTAGAAATAATTTAACTGACATAACGTTTAAAACGTATTACAGTTTTTTATGTAGGTCAGGGAAGCGCACTTACCGAAGCCGTATGATTTGTAGAAGGCGGCACGCTGACGCAGGTTTCACGTAAAGGCGTCGACTCGACTGATCACGTCACGCAATCGTAGCGCTTTCGACGCATTTTTGAAATATGTTTTATTGTTCTATCATACAGTTCTGTACAAATGTAAAAAGCAGTCACCTTGTTTATTTCAAAATAGCACGTCATTGGGCTTACCTTTACGGACATGGTAACCACACTTAGTTATACTAATGAATGATACAACAGTTATAATAATTTTTGTTACTGTAACTGTAGTATTTTGCTACATTACACAAAGGCAGCTCGTTCTAGAAGTACATTTAAACAATGCGCTCTAATGCTTTTTTTTTTATTTACGTTAGCTCAGTATAATTTTTATTTGTATTTTTCTACATTATCAAATATGACCAAATATATAAATGCAAGAGAAATGTAATAAATCATTTGCCTCTTCAAATGCACCATTAACATGTTGATTTTGCACCTTTTGTGTTGTACATCACCACTAACTATATCTTTTCTCAGTGTTATTAAATAGTCATCTACAGCCGCACAGACTTCACCAGAGATAAATGCCTTTTGTCTTCATCTTTATCTTTTTTAGGTGTCTTCTTTAATTAGCTTAGCATAAGATGTTTTTCTTACATTATCATTGTTGGTGACATTGTTTATAGATACATTTTAGCCTGATCCACAAATTATAAATACACACACAAAAAAAGACAGTATCACTTATCCAAATTTATTTGCAAATTTAGAAAACGTACAAATTTTGTCACAGCTTCAGGTCTTCAGGCACGGGTCATTCTGTCATGACAGATTTTTGACCAAATATGAATTTTTAGGCCTTCCTCTCTGTAATGGCATGATAATATGCGATAACAGATGTCTGTCTCTTGAGCAGCTTCTTAAAACCAAGAAAGTACAAACTTTGAGTACATTCTGGTAATACATAAAGCCAAACCTACATTGAACAAGACTTGAGGAAAATGTTTCACTGAAGAATCCACCTCGACCCATTATGCAGTTCACATCCACCTGATTGAAAAACCCTTCCTTTCCTCCAGCACCACATCCACAAATTTAGAATAAAAGACTGAGAAGCATGACAGGACATTAGATACTCAATTTAGTCAAATTAACCTGGCCAATGTTTTAATCTTTTTCTTCATAAATATTTATCTCTTTCTCTTTTACACATACAGACAAGCTTACAACAAGAAACAATCAATAAGAAGGAGTAATATTTTTCTAGAAAAACATAAATGTTAGCTTTACATAAAATGTTAGTATCCACATGCTAAACTGACTTTGATAGAAGGGGTTGTTTTTCCGATTTCCACTTTTAACATCTCAGACTGACCCCTAAAAGGCAAATAACATGCCACTCCATTTTGCTTTGCTACAAAGTCTGTAAATACTTCTGAGGCTTTCAAGATAAACACATATTCTGGAGTACGAGAAATTAAGAAAAGAAAGACAAGAAAAAAAATCCAAAAAGCTAACAGAGAGCAAAGAGGCTTGCTTTGCTTGGTTTAGGACAGTCAGTGCATTTAAAACATTCCAAAAAAAAAAAAAAAAAACCTTCTGGTAACATTTTATAACCAGGTTGTACATGTTAATATTAGTTAACCCAATAGGTAACATGAACTAAAAATCAATAATGCTTTAACCAAGATTTAAAGTGCTGTAAAATTATAATTTTTACATATACATCTTTAAATGTTACAAATGTAGTGTATGTTAATATTGGTTAATGCATTAGTAACTAACAAGAACTAGTAAAATAGTAACAATAACCAAGATGAATAAATTCTGTCAAAAATTATTCAATGTTAGTTCATGACACTTGATGCATTAACTAATGTTAACAAATCCAACCTGATTGAAAAGTGTTACCAAAATACCATCATGATGAAAGAAAAACTCAGTGTTCAGCTGCTTCTGAATGTAGCTGGCATGCTCATCTGTTCCTCATCATCATTGGCATGATCTCGTAATCCTCTGAGGAGAGGACAAGCGATGCTACAACGATTGGCAGACTCAAGTGGTTTTGTTGTCTCTCACAGGTCATGATGAGGTGGCAGGTCTGGGCTGATGTCACAGTGACTGAGGTTAGGACGGTCCTCCTATGTGATCTTCAGAGTGCTACCATAGGTTTGCTGTACCACTACCTGAACATTGTCAAGGATGAAGTCAAAGGCCATGCTCCATACTGACTCGGAGGACTGCTGCATAAGTCTGAAACCAACAGTTAAAACGATGAAATACTTTCATTAAGAAAGGCCCAATCAACCTACACTACTGTTCAAAGGTTTGGGGGGTCAGTAAGATTTTGAAATGTTTTTGAAAGAAGTATCTTATGTTCACCAAAGCCGCATTTCTATTTGATCAAAATACAGTAAAAATAGAAATATTATAAAATAACTGCTTAATTACAATAACTGTTTTTGATTTTTAAGTTATATTTATGGTCTTTTTATGCCTTTATTTTGAGAGGACAGTAGAGAGCTGACAGGAAAGCACTGGGAGGAGAGAAGGGAGCAGGATCGGCAAAGGACCTCGAGGCGGGATTCGAACTCGGGTCGCCATGAGCGCAGTTGTGCTACATGTCGTCGTACTAACCACAAGGCCATGGGCGCCGACACTGTCTTCGATTTTAATATTTTTTAAAATGTAATTTGACACATGATCCTTTAGAAATCATTTTAATATGCTGATTTGGTGCTTAAGAAACATTGATAAGAATAATGTTAAAAACAGTGACATTTTTTCAAGATTATTTGATGAATATTCAAAGTTTAAAAGACCAGCATTTACTTGAAATAGAAACATAGTAACACAATAGTAACACACACACACAAAAAAAATCCTCGTACTCTCCAAACTTTTAAACGGTAGTGTATTATTACTACTGGTGAGATGTATAATGTACTTGTGTTTGTTGTAGGAATTAGCCAGGAAGAATTCAGAGCTATACCTCTTCATGTATTTGATGACAAGGTAGAGTTTCTCCAGGTCTTTATCTTCCACGAGTTCTGTGCAGAACTTCACCACCTGGAGAATGTCCTCTTCCATAGGTTCTGTGAATATGCAGCGCCACACAAATAAACCAACTGCACAATATATGCGCAAATATATACTGGTATGTAAAAAGTTTTTGTTCTGCCATACCTGAGATGGTGGTGACCCATTCACGAAGCAGAGTTCTGATGTCACTGAATTCATAAGCTCCCGCTAGGGTTGGGACTGGGCGGGGATTAAATTTGGACAGCGTCTCTGGGACATCTGTGCTCGAAGAGGACGGGCACTGTACATTTTCTGTCTACCAATGAAAAACATCTCAGATAAATACCTTTTTTCCCTCAAAATTGTCAACATTTTGAACACAGATGTATTTAAAGTGTATCAAGTGGCAGAAGAATACAGGCGTACTTTGAGGCCTGGCTGTTTGAGTGGCAGAGGAAGTGTTTTGGAGGGGCTGGATTTGGCAGGGCTGTTTCCAGGAAATAGTTTTTTGTGTGGACTTGGAATAATAGGACCCCTTTAAGAAATTAACTTAAACTAATTTTTTATGCACACAGTTCAACTATTATGTACATGCAAAGCAACTGTTTCTGACATCTGGCCTTAAAGGAATAGCTTGATTGCTTGACTACCCGCATTCTTCAAAATATCTTCTTTTATGTTCAACATAAGAAAGAAACTCATACTGGTTTGGAACGGCATGAGGGCGAGTAAATGATAACAATTTTCATTTTGGTTGAACTATCCCTTTAAAGGGAAAACACTCTTCAAGAGATACAATAAATGTATGTATATGGTGCAGATATCTTGCACACCCCTACTCATTTTTACTCACCAGCACTGCTTTGAGCTTGAACATGGGCTTGAGTGTTTCCCTTGTTTCTATAAGCAGAGCACAACTCTTCCTGAAGCTCTCTGGGAAGAGCTGCAAACACATCTGGGTCAACCTGTTAAAAGTTCAGGTTAGGGTATCTAAAATACTAGTTTCTGATGGTCATTTCACCGTTTCCTCCCTGTGGTTGGGATGTTAATAGAATGTACCTGGGAGAAGTCAGGGAGCTCTAATATAAAGCCCGTTGTGCATGGTTGACCTAGCTGGTTTGGGAGCTGCAGTACAAGGGTGCCAAGCGATGGACCTGGAGGTGGAGAAGAGGAGGTTCGAGGCGGGGTTGAGAGATGAGATGAGGTGCTGGGCTGCTCCTCTCTGTGTCTCCAGGACTGCTCCACCTGTTTCCTTATGTCTACAGGTAAAGCCTCTAAAACAGACTGGTCCACCTGAATCAAAGGGAAAACAGGGGCTTACAATTCATTTGATATGCTACCATTCAGAAGACTGAGCTCGCTAAAATGTTAAAAAAAAATGTTTAAATAAGCTGCATTTATTAAAAAAAAAAAAAAAATAGCAGCAATACTGTTAAATATTTTTACTATTTAAAAGTACAATAATAAAATTTTCTATTTTCATATCATTTAAAATGTAATTATTCCTGTGATGACATTACTCTAGTCTTCAATGTCACATGATCCTTTAAAAATCATTCTAATATGCTGAGTATTCAATGTTGAAAACAGTTGTGCTGCTTAATATTTTTGCTGCAACTGATAGATTTTTACTGATACATCAAGATTCTTTGATAAATAGAAAGTTCAAAAGAAGAGCATTAGAAATATTTTGTAACAAAATATGTTGACCGTCACTTTTGATCAATCGAATGCATCTTTTTTTAAATAAAAGCATTTCTTATAAGAAGATGACCTTGCTGTCTGGATATCAGGCATAGTCTGTGTACTTTTTGTTTCTGAGGTGCATTCAAGCGAGGAGAATCTAACCTGAGAGGGAGATGGCACCTCAATGCTGACGTTTAGGCATGTCCTGACATGGTTGAGGGTGTGTGGATGGTGAAGTCCTCCTTTACTCGTTCCAGGCATTGGATCAGAGCTGGTGGAAGGTGGTGAGGATGGAGGGGTAACTCTCTCCTGACTGGAGGAGAAAGCTCTGGATGAAGAAGGGCTGGTTAAACCATCTAAAATACAAGCAACAGGGAAGGCATGTTAAGAGTTAGATACCAACATAAATCAAACACATATCCTATAAATCCAGGGTTCTTCAAATCTGGCCCTGCAGGGCTACTGTCCTGCAAAGTTTAGCTCCAACCCTAATCAAACACACCTGAGTGAGAAAATCAAGGTATTCAGAGTAACCAGTAGGTGTGTTTGACCAGGGTTAGATCTAAAACTCTGCAGGACAGTCCAGGGCTGGATTTGAAGAACCCTGTCCTAATCACACTGCTCCAACCTTGTGGTGCTAGTGGGTCTTTCTTGGGGCTGTGGGCAGGCTGTTTGGCCAGCAGCAGGTCTTTGATCGAGCGACCACGAGAGGGCCCTTGTCCTGATGGGTCTGCATGCGATCCCTCCAACTGCTGCACCTGCAGTCCCACTCCCCTCATGTCCTTTACATCCAATTTCATGGCATGGAATAGCTTAATGGCTTCAGCGGCAATCAGCTGACCACTGTCTGTGGGCTGAGCAAGTGAAACAGACCTGCAATGTGACAGTAATGTGAATGTCAAAAGTATATCAAAAATAGTTTGGTTATCAGTCAATATTAAAGCTGCAGTCCCTAAGTTTTGCCTCTTTGTCGCCATCTCTGTTTGAAAACCTGCAATTGCAGCTGTTTGCGGAATTAGCTTCCTTGCGTGGGTTGTGCACCGGCGGCTCCAGCGCGGATTAATCTAATGTTTTGAAGAGTATGTGTGTGTGGCAGTCAGTCACCGCACTGGTGTGGATATTTACTTTACTTCGCAATCACAGATTCTAGCCTACGTCATGGAATATATGACCCAAATAAGAATTTTCACCGTATATTGTCATGTGAAGTCTGCCACGTTTGTTCTGACCAACTGAGGAAAAAAGCATTGCAATAAATCGCACTACCAATTTAATCTAAAGATCGGTTAGCTCATATCACATCAATCCATGCAAATTATTATTATTGTTATACTTTATTCTCAAATTATTAATGTTAACAACATCAGCATTGCCTATAGTGTGTATTAGCGTGTAGATTTCAATTTCTGTACAGTCTAATCTCTAATTCTCATACCATTCGAATTTCATATTAAGAAATTCTTTTAACCCAAAAGGCAAATTATGCTCCCTTCCAACTGGTTGTCTTTAAAATACAAATCTTGTGTAATCCCAGGCTATCTGTAATCAGAAGCACATTTAAAACTGGAATATAATTTAATTTCATTCACATGTGTCTCATAAACACATAGTCCTTTCTGGATTACAATCCGCCATAAAAATTATACATTTAATTATTCCAGCTGCCTCGATCTGCCACCTGCAGGATCTTCACGTGCGATAGCCTAGTAGCCAGGACAACTTCTTTATGTTTACAGACGTGACGTAATGACGCAGTGCCATGCTCGAATTTCCCGTGAAAACTTCACTCAAATTAGAAAACATTATTATAAGCTAACCGTTGTGAATCGGGCTAAAGTAAGGCGATAGTTTGGCTGGCTGGTTATGCACTTTTTTATTTAGACAAAATTGTATAGAATTTTAGTTGTGACCACAACATGAAATTAATTACCTTCAGCTTATCGGTATTAGCCAAAATTTTAAATGGAAATTCAGCCTGTTTTCTAAATGCATGTTATTGAACTTATTGTGAACGATTCTTCCATGCATGTTTAATTTTTACATTTTTCCATAATTCTTAATCAATATGGCATAACTTGAATCTCTACTCATTAGTCTGCTTAAACACCACAGCTTTCTCCCAAACCAACTGCAAGCTTGCATTCAGATCTGCCTCCATCCAATCAACAACCAACAAACTGAACCAACATTTTTTTCTTTTTTAATATTCCGTTTCACTCAGATGTATGTCACAATAGAAATTATCTGTAGTGCATTTAATAGAGCACATTGTTAATTTATCCTGGTGCAAGTCACCTGGCAAAGTTGTCACATATCCCATGGCCACCATATTTGGCTGGCTCTACTGGAGCTCCTGGTTTCCGCACCATGACCTTCAGTGTAATCCGGCGACCTCTAAGCCCCGCCCCCTCCAACCTCTTCTGCACCTCCATAGATAGGTTTGTAAGGAAAGTCTCCGCCTCTTCAACCTAGCCAAGTATTAGAGGTGATGGGAAACATATGACAGAAGTCAACAGACTGAGGACAATGACAGATACAGGATGATTTGCAATGATTGCTGTAACTTGTATACTTCAAAACCTGTGTGAACCGAATGTTGTAGTTCATCTCTGCAGACACAGACTTTCTCTCCTTCTCACTGCGCACAGGCCTGTCATACAGTCCTCTGCAAAAGCGGAAAAGCATCTGTCCTGTCCTTGGCCCAAACTCCCTCTGCAGTCGAGAAATGGACAACTGCTGCAGGTCACCACAGGTACTCACTCTGAGGGAGGTCAGCTTGGAGCTCATTGAGCGACCCACACCTGCACATAAGAACACAGAAGCACCAGTCCAGACATACACAAATACAGCAATAAATTCCACTGTAAAACTCTGATTCAGATTAAAATACCCTACCATTCAAATGTTTGAGGCCAGAAAGATTTTTTTTTTTTTTTTTAAAGAAATAAATTAATACCATTATTCAGGAAGGATTAATTAAATTGATTAAATCTGACAGTACACTACAGACATTTAATATTACAAATTTATTTCAAAATAAATGTTGTTTTTCTGAACTTTCTATTCTTCAGAGAATCCTGAAAACGTGTCAAATTCTTCAAAGAATCCTTAAAATGTGTCAGTTTTCACAAAAATATTAAGCATTTTTTTTAAATATTTATATTTTTTTATAAAATAAATGCAGCCTTTTTGAGAATAAGATATGACTTTCAAAAACATTTAAAAGTCGTACCAAACTACCTAAACATTTGAACGGTATTGAATGTAGGATGCTCTGTTCTCACCAGGCAAACTGGATACAGGCTGATCCCTGATAAAATCATCCACTTCCTCCGATCTGAGGAAGTACTGCCCATTTGGTTTTGCCTTACGGGTTGCCATCCGAGCAAGAAGGATGTTGGAACCTATTAAGAAGTATAAGGGAAGTTACAAAATATTACAGAAATGAAGGAATACTAGCAACTTCATAACAAAAAAACATTGTCATTAAACTTCATTTCTAACATGTTGTTCCAAACCTTTATGACTTTTGTGGAAGGTAAATTTTTAAAGAATATCCTGGCCACTCTTTTCAAGTTAGAAGTAAGTAAATGAGGACTGGAACTCTCGAGCTCCAAAAAAAAAGTTAAAGCGATACAATAGCTTAGTGCGAGTAACAAACTAAAGTTGTTTCGCTGTACCTGACTTTGGCATGTTCACAAGAGTTCATGAGAAAAGCACAATGTTATTGTATGGCTTTTATGGCACTTTTGCATCATTGCAATATTCCTATTCATTGCAATTACCGGGAAATGAGAAAGAGCAGCACATTCTTAAAAAGATCCATGGGAGAAAGTAAGTCATAAAGGTTTGGAACAAAATGCAGGTCAGTAAATAAATTCTCTTACCCATTCCAACTGAGGCAGAGCAACCAGTCTTTTCCTTTATGTCTTCACGAATGGCTCGAGCCAAATCATCAGGTGTAACTCCCAGCTCAACCAGAAGATTTGTGGCATCTACCAGCGCCTCGTCACAACTTAGTGCCTCAATGTTATGAGTGTAACTATAAAACAAGCAACCATGAAGCAAAAGAATTGTTGCCTTTGTCTGCTGGCATTAGGAATAATGTAGCAATCCAAAAAAAGTTGCAACAAACATTATATCTGGTACCTGGCCAGGGTCTCATACATGGACAAAGCCACCTCTTTATATGCCTGGAAGTCATATGGGACAGACTGCAGATCAGGACAGAGCTGCTTAGCCCGGCCAAAGAACATGCCGTTTCTCACACCAGCCTGCCTGTAAGAGAGAAAAACAGAGTAACAGGTACCGCTGGAAGTCATACTGTATTAAAGACAGTACATGTTAGAAAAAAATGTTTGTGGTCTCCAATAGTCAGTTAGCTTTGAATCCATCTATATCTGTGGTTCTCAACCAGGGGGCCTCAAAATAAGACAAAATAAGCATTAGAATAAGCTTAAAAAAAATAAAAAAAAAATCATGGACTTAGATGATCAAGGTATACTGTATGAGGAAGCCTAAATTACAAGTGTAACTTGGAGAAAACCTGGGGAATTTAAAATATTCAAATGCCATTGACTTATTTTTAAAGAATACAATATTTTCTCGTTGTGCAAAGCTCCAAAATATTTAATCAGGCAGACATTCTAAAGTATTTAAAAAAATCTTATACAGTAAAACAAAAACATCTAAATTAAGAAGAGTGGGATCCCAGAAGAACATTTAGCTTGTGAAAATTCTGTAATTCTGAAACTTATTTCATTTGAATTATAATTATTTTAGCTACTTATTTTAATCTAAAGGACAATCCTAGTTTCTGTAAATTAAAGCAGATGTACCAATGGAAACCTACAGTATTAGCCTAAATGGGGGGCCTTCAAATATTGCTCGGGTCAATGGAATTAAAAAAAGATGAGAACCACTAATCTAGTATTTGCTATTTTAAAAATGGAATGGATATTTGGCAGATACAGACATGTCAATTTTACAATCTTTTTTGGGGGGGTTCATATTGCACAAGAAAGGAGCCTGGCATGTTTACAATGAATACCTGGCCTCGTAACTGCAAGATGCAATCTCTGCCATAGAGAGGGCAGCCAGGTCCAGATCCACTCCATTACTGGGAACTTCTTCACATTGTGGAGATGGGGTCATCTCAAGATCACCATCTGTCTTCTCTAAAGCAGAAAGAACAATGGTCACCTAAATTCAAACTTCAAAAATGTACAAGACATTAATTCTAGACTTCAAGCAAAATTTAACCAACATCTTCCTCCTAGAACCTGAGCTTACCTTTCCTATACTGTTTCTGTTTCCTCTGGTAGTACTGAAACTCAAGCTGAGGATTTGAACCAGGTCGCTGTGCAACACGGCCTGGACCACGGTTACTAGTCACCGCAACCGGTTTCCCTGGAGTACAGATTGACCATCAGTAAAGCTCAGTTTATCAAAGTCAACAAGCTGCAACAAGAAACTTCAGCACTTCCCTCCAATTCACTAAAACGTACCTATGAGATCTGGTCTGTGTCTGATCCCTACTGACACAAAGAAGCAGTCCATATCCACATGAAGAATGCAGGATTGACGCACCTGAGGAGCAGCCATTAAGGAACCTGGGCCAAAGAGAAATAAACTTTTTTTTTTGGCAAAATGCTGCATCACAAAGACACATGCTTCTCAACAACATAAAAGAAATACACAAACATAAACCACAAAGACAAGATACCTGAACTGCAATTAGCTTTGAGCTTCTTCAGTTTCTCTTTTCCAGAGAAAACAGCTCCTCCTGCAGCTCGCCTCCTGCTCTGAAGGGCATTGACATACTCTGAGAACTCATTTCGCCATGTAGAAATATGATGCAGCCTTGAGTGAGAAAAGAACTCTGATATGACTCCAGCCTCTGCTCCTTTGCCCGACCTTCCTGGCTGATGACTAGAGTCTGCAAGATTGGAGGAGTTAGGGGTCATGTGATAGCTCCCATTTAGTCGAACTCTTGTCTGATCGTGAAGATTCCCCTTCTGAGGAGCAGCTGAAGTTCCTGGATTAGATGTTGGTTTTGGATGGAGGTCCTTTTGCATACTGTGAAGACCAGGCTGCTTTGCAGGACTGGCAGTGGATATTAAGGACCTCTGATGGAAATTTGATTTTGACCCAGCAGAAGAGCAGCTGGGCTCCTCCCTATCCCTGCTTTCAGTCTGTGGGAGGTGAGACTGATGGGACCCTATGTCAACAACATGTGGAGAATGTTCTGCAAAAGAGTCCTGAGGCTTTAAGGCACCATTCACAGGGTGTACATAACCATTAGTTAACGAAGTGTCTTGTGAGCCTCTTGGCAATAGGGCACAGGCGTCATCATCATCTCCATCATGAATCCCATTAACTCTAGGCCTCTCTGCATCCTCCTCAATTATGCTACAGGAACCATTTCTGCCAGACAAAAGGAGAGAGGACAAAAAGATACATAATTAAATAATTTCCCAAATGTTTTTATTTAAAGGATTAGTTCACTTCCAGAATAAAAGCTTCTTGATAATTTACTCATCCCATGTCATCAAAGATGTTCATGCTTTTCTTTCTTTAGTCAAAAAGAAATTTAAGGTTTTTGAGGGAAACTATCCAGGATTTCCAGACGAGCATTTATGGTTAAAAAGTATATACATTTTATTTATTTATTTTTATCTTTTCACTAGATAAGACCCTTATTCATCGGCTGGGATCGAGTAGAGCCCTTTGAAGTGAGTAAATTATCAGGAAATTCTTATTCTGGAAGTGAACTAATCCATTAAGTATACAGAAGGGGTGTAAAAACTTCGCGCCGGAGCAGTCTTATCTGACCAGCAGGCCAATACGATAAATTGAAAAGTTATTTACCTGTTATAGCAGATAACTGATAAATGGCTGATAAATTTCTATACTATTTTGTCTAAATAAAATAAATAATAAATAGTACACTTGACAGTGTTTTTTAATTTTTTGTTTTTAAAGATTACATAACACATGTAATCTAAATGTAAATATTGGGTGAATGAAAACATGCAATTTAATATCCAATCTATATCCAAAAATGATCAATATGATCAATTAACAAAAAATAAAAAAATCTATTTGTTGTGTTGCATGTTCTATCTTGGATCTTAAAGCAGCAGAATCTTTTCTTTCTTTCAAATACATGCAGCATTTGACACTCACATGTGCCAATGGATCCCCGTTTATAAAGCATACTCACAGTCTGACATCTAGCTGGTGATTGGTTCGCTCAGTGAAGTTGGCTGTGTGGTTAGCGTGAGTGGATTTGAGAACTTCTTTAGAGAGGGTTTGAGTGTGGCTGGGCTGAGGCTTGATGCTGTCTGACTGGGGGTGGCTTGGATTGGGTTTGAATGGGTCATTGGTGGACGACAGATCCTGCTTTCCTCGTGCACAAATACTGGTAAAGTTCAAGCTTTTTTGCTTCGCATAGAGCTGATATTGGACATATGAAAGTTGGCAGCCTGCCTTTATACTGCACAAAAGCAAAAAAAAATAAAATTAGTATGCATATATTATTGTGCTTCTATAACCTGCAAAGTACACATAAACACACACCTGTCTGTGATCCACTCTGGCCGCACTACTTTCTCTCCCTTGAGCTCTTGTATTTTGCTGTTGGGCAGGTTGGTGGCAATGATATGTGTAGTTTTGGAGCGAGTGTAATAGAGATGGAACTGTCCACCATGCAGCATCATCAGCCTGCGCAGCTCATCTGCACTGGGATCTACATACAAAAAATACACAATACAAGATAGCACAGTACTCATCATCCTGACACATTCAGCTATAGTGCTCAAATGGTAAACACAGGCTCGAATCCAGTCAGCAACATTTCTTTCAAATCATTCAACTTCATTTTTTGGTCACACTTTATTTTAAGGTCCAATTCTCGCTATTAATAAACCATTAACTATGACTTTTGCCTCAACAAACTACTAATTTGCTGCTTAGGGACGTAGAATATGGTCATGTAGAATATGTGCTTTATAAGTACTAATAAACAGCCAATATGTTATTAATAGGCATGCTAATAAGCAACTAGTTAATAGTGAGTATTGGTCCCTATACTAAAGTGTTTCCCATTTTTCCTATAAATTTTGCTCATCCTTGTCTATACAAACAAATAAACAATAATACTGTTATTATTGAGTATTATTGATTGTTCAGCCAAAAATGAAAATTCTGTCATGAATTACTCACCCTCATGTCGTTCCAAACCCGCATGACATTCGTTCATCTTCAGAACACAAATAAAGATATTTTTGATGAAATCCAAGAGCTTTCTGACCCTGCATAGACAGCAACGCAACTGACATGTTCCCAGACCAAGAAACGTAGTAAGGACATCAATAAAATAGTCCATGTAACATCAGTGGTTCAATTGTAATTTTACGAAGCTACGAGAATACTTTTTATGTGCAGAGAAAACAAAATGACTTTATTCAACAATTCTTCTCCTCAAAATCACAAATTCCACCATTGACAGTACCACGACGTGCATGTGTTGTTTACATGCAGAGGTACTCTCAATAATGGCGGAAGACATGATTTGGAGGAGAAGAATTACTGAATAAAGTCATTATTTTTGTTTTATTCTAGTATTCTCGCAGCTTTGTAAAATTACAGTTGAACCACTGATGTCACATGGACTGTTTTACCAATGTCTTTACTACTTTTCTGGGTCTGGGAACATTTCAGTTACATTGCTCTCTATGGAGTGTCAGAGAGCTCTCGGATTTCATCAGAAATATCTTAATTTGTGTTCCGGAGATGAACAAAGGTCTTGCGGGTTTGGAACGACATGAGGGTGAATACTTAATGACAGAATTTTCATTTTTGGGTGTACTATTGTTTTAATAATATTTATTAATGAAAAATGTAATTAATAAAATAACAACAATAATAATGTTAAAGGGGTCATATGATGTTGCTAAAAAGAACATTATTTTGTGTATTTGGTGTAATGAAATGTGTTTATGCGGTTTAAGGCTCAAAAAACACATTATTTTCCACATGGGCTTGCGGCAACCACATGTGACGACCCTGGGCTGGACTCCGCTTCGATCCAGTGATCGAAGCGCAAAGTTGTTGTATTTCCTCAGCAACCAGCACGGATCAGCTCTAGGCATGACGAAGCAGATATCGTCCTCTTTTGGAAGGCCAAACAAAGTAGTTTCGCTTTCACAACAAAACACACAGCGCCTTCACGACATGACGGCAGCAACAACAATACTACAGTGAGAATAAAAGTTACGCCTTTTTTCTTTGCATGAACATTTGGGCGGCGTTATGCAAATCTTCCCACATCGTGACGTAGATATGTGGGGGCGTGTTAGAACGAGCCGTTTTAGGTAGGCGTGGCTGACTCTTAACTTCTATAAAGAATATCTCTTTGGATTTGAGACTTTAGTCTTTGCAACTTTACAGATCTTCTTTATGCACCAAGAGCTTGTAACACTCCAAAGAGAAAGGACAAATTGAAATCGCATCAATGACCCCTTTAATGATAATAATAATATCTCTATAAAATGTAAAATACTATTCATATTAAATATTTGTATTAACATTTATAATAAAACACAAATAAAAAAAATGTTTATAATGAAGGTAATAATGATGCTGCTGCTGCTCCAGATGCATTATGCAGTAAAACTGATCTCAATTCAGGAAGAAAGTTTGTTTTCCTGTTCACGTTTGTTATCACAGCACACGTGGGTGGCGAGGATGCTGGAAGAGATCTGACCTGTGTATCCATTGACGTAGATAGCCACACCACTGAAGATACAGGAGGATGTTCCATCTTTCTGCTTCTCTCTCGGGGCATCCTTCTGAAACTGCTCCTCAAGCTTAGAGATTTTTGCAGCCATGTAACCACCCTAAAAAAAATTCAACAAACAAACCTGTGATGTTAATTTGATTTCTAATACCAATAAAAAAAATCCCACTCACATGAACACAGCCTCATAAGATCAAGAAATAAGGCAAAGCAGAGACTCTACAGTGCGACCATTTCAGTAAACTACTGCGTGCGACTATGAAAACATATTTAGGAGCACCAGTGCGACTGACCAGATCTTCATCATATTTGTGATTGTGATCGCTGAGGGGAGCTTCAAAGATTTCTACGTGTTTTTGCAGCGTTGAGTAATGTATCACAGACATATCTCATGAATCCTTTCATAAGCAAAGTGTAGACAGGGTGTAAATAAGAGATTCATTGTGCAGTGTAGAGAGCTTCGTTGATTATAAATGTGAGCTCGCGATGAACTAAGATGAGTGACAGCTTTTAATTATTTTTAAGGGAGTTTGTAAATGTGATACTTATTTAATATAACAGTTAAATAGACAAGAAGTTAATATTAAGTGACTTACATTGTCTGCCTATAACACTATGGTCTGATTTTGCTCTATTTCGTCGTCGAAAATTGTTTCAAACAGTCACAGCTCAGCCGCTGCGCGTCTCCATTCAAACACAGCGGTGTTTCGTTTATGAATGAAATAATTTTTTTTTTTAATTTGACAAAAGATTACATACTTTAAATAAAGATAGAAAAATGCCATTACAAAGGTAAAAACTAAATTCTACTGTAAATCACTTTAAGGAGTCAAATATCACGTCATAATGGGAAGGCTATTTTTGTATCAAATTTTGGTGCTCCTAAATTTTTGACTGTGCTCCTAAATTTTTTAAGTTAGGAGCACAAGCGCTCCTAAAAAGAAAAGTAAGCGTAGAGCCCTGGAGAGCACACACAGACTATGCAGACACAGTAAAAACAATTCTAACCCCTGTAAAAAAAATGAACAGACTGCAATATAGACATGCACAAAGAAAAACGTGCAGCTTCTGGCTGACAAGCGTTTGATTACGTCTCAGACATTCAATGAGACTGGAGGTGCAAGTCTGCCCTGCTGGCACAGCGACTCTGTCTCCATGGCAACGGATGGAACGCTGGGATTCAGGAGTTAAGCCTGAACCAATAAACAGACTCACACACACACAAAAATACTCCACACACAAGGCCTGAAGGCAACCACTGTGCTGTTTAATTAAATAAAATAATTATGCACAAAATAGTTGTCATACTGTACATGCACTGGCTTCACTTTCACATCTGCATTATGCTAGCAAATTACTAAATTATTAACTGAAAATCAACAAATTGCACAAGCTCCACCCTTTTGGTTCTCAGATTTGGTGGCAACACATTATGGATGTCATATTATAGGGAAATGTCGTGAAATGTTATCAGTGAAGACAGAAGCTCTTGGAGTTGTTTATGCCAGTGTGGTTCTGCTAATGCCTGAGGAACACGAGGACATTGAAGCCTATCAAATCTCTTGCTCTGCTCGGAGCCTCGGACTGTGGCGGCAGAGCAGAGGTGCTGGTCACTAGTGAGGAAAATTGAGATAGATTACTCACTGGTGTAATACAAATGAAAACCTGTCTAGACTTCAGCATCAACACACATACACCCACCAGCTCTCACATGAAGGGGAATGTTCGACTGGTGGTCAATGGTTATGAGGTTAAAATTACAGCATAAATAATAAATGAACCATGTTTAGAGGGGCAGCCTGGAAAGACAACACAGTACAAAAGAGAACTGTGAAAAAAGCAGCTGCTGAGGCTTCCTGCTTTCAATAATAAACACATTTCATAATAAAGAACAACAGACTCTTACCCGTCCTCCCCACCCATCATCTTCACTGGCTTTCTTTCTCCATCCATCTCGACTCATACTGAGGGACCTGAAAGACAACAATTAAATGTAATGAGTCAAAAACTAAATGTGTTAGCGACAGAAAATTAACATATAAAAATGAGGACAAAATATGCACATCTGTTCTCTTCATCACTTACATGAATTTACAGACTCAGGGAAAGGAAGCGAGCTACTGTACATACAAGTGCTACTGCTTTAATTAGCAGGCAGATGATTCCTTTAATAAAGAAAATGCAACTGAAATGCTGAATCCGGAGCGGAGAATAAATCTAATCCATTTAATTTGTATAGTGCTTTTCACAATACACATTGTTTCAAAGCAGCTTTACAGAAAATCATGATGTTAAATGTTTATAATATCTTCATGCTTCATGGTTGCATGTAATAGATTAGAGCCGGGCGATAATATAGTTTACATTTTTCGACAATATAAACAATTAAGCAGTTGAATTTTGCAAAGTCGGAGAGAAGTGCAATCCTCTAAATTAGACCTCTTATCGAACACCAAACTAAAAGAATTGTATGCATTTGGCAGACACTTTTATCCAAATCGACTTACAATGCATTCAACATTGAATGCACTGCATTCAAGCAAATTCTTAGTCTTTGTAGAATGCATACACCTCACCTTTGAAAAACAGAGTTCAAAGGTGAATGGAAAGCACATGATCAGCATTTTCTCCAAGTACTGCACACCTTATCAGAGCACAGGTCATCTGTAAAATCTGTTTCAGTCTTGTACTTTTATTCTTGACAAATTAATATGCAAGACCTCCATTTCACTGTCTCCTTGATAATTTTGCCTCTGTGGTACAGATCAGACCAAACAACGCATCCCAAAAGTAAAAGGGAAGTCATTCTTATCTCTGTAGCATGTGATGAGCATAGCAAGGCAGAATAACCATTATTAGGGATGAATCCTGCTTACTCCCTCCATCATAAAAAAAATCACATACACAATCTCATTCTCCACAGGAAGCTGTATTGAGCGCATCTTCACACATATGGTGCAAAACAAAGCTTCTAATCGGCTTTGTCCAAATATGCACCTCCTATCCACTCAAATGAAACATCAAAGTGTCTGTCTCAGTCTTTCTTGCTTGATTTCTTTTTCAACACAAACACTAGGTGCTACATGAGCAGCTAGGCTAACTTTATCATCAGCCTGCTCCCTTCAGATATCAGGAGTAGCACAGTCTCAGTGTTTTCATTAAATGTGGTAGTGAATGAGAGTTCAGAAACGTGTACATAATTCAAATTAAACTATTATTTAATAAAGAGTAGCATACCAGTGTTATTTATTGACACATGCTGGAGTATTTCTCCTTATGTTACAAATTTAATAGTCATGTTATGGTATGTGACACATTTTATTATGCACTACTGGGTGATACTGGACTGAATCAAACTGTGGCAGCTCAGGCAATCGGACAAAAACATTTACTGAAAAACATCTGATTATTTTACCCTAAATTACACTACAAATATACAACAGATACCTGCTTCATTAGGCCATTCAATGCACTTTTGCAGTAGGCAGTTGACTGTTTTGCTGTCAATAAAAACAATAGTCCAAAAAACATTTTAAAAATCATAAAGATTATTACATTTACAGCTGAAAAGGCACCAAACCAACTTATGTGGTCTCACAGCCTGTCCAACCTTGTGTTCAGTTGATTTAGCTGGTCAGCCAGCTGGTCTCACTGCTTGACTAACTGAAAAGTGTCCAAAACTCCTCTAAAACCAGCAACTAAGAATGGCAAACTGGTTTACGTCGTTCTTTTTAAACCAGGGATGACTGAGGGAGGCTTTGAAAGAGTTGACAAATGGACAGATCCACGTTCACTGAACTGTCAACAAGCAACAATATTGTACACATACCAGAAATAAAAATAAAAGATAGTTACAAAATCAGACGTGATAGCTTCCTAATAAGAATGATACAGAGTAACGTTATTGGGTTTATTTAGCTTTACTTTAACACATCGGCCGTCACATGGGACATGCCTGGCCATGTGAATGACTGTCTCGACTAGAAGAAAATACTGTGCTGCAAATCTGGGAAACCTAAATTCGACTCAGAAAATAAGTTAGTGGGACAGTTGATAGAGACAGTGATCAGACACAGAGGGCACTAACAAGGCATGTGACATTTCGTGCATAATAAACTGGATTCCCGACAACCTTTTAGCACATTGTTGCAGAAGTGCAACACAGCAGCACACATCAGATCGATCAGTTCAACATACAACTGTAGCGTCACTCTGCGTGTGATGCGCGGTTTCTTTTTAAAACGAAACCTCTGAAAACTGAAATTGTTGCTCACCAATTATCCCCCTTCTTTACAGATGTATTTTGTTCAAACCAAAGCGCCTTTGTTTCCGCTCTTGGGTTGCGTTCACCCCTTTTGTGTCAGATTTGAAAGATTACTAACAGAGACTTGGTGCATGCTGGGCTCTGTCCATATCAACATGCTCCCGCGACTGCACGATTCTCCCCTTTTACCACTCACTCGTATCTCTCCATTACTAGCCGCTTGCTCACTGTCGATTTTCTGCTTGTTTTCCGCGTAAGACCCTCCTCCTCCTCTCAGCCGGGGTCACACAGTGACAACGATAGCCCTGTCTGTATCTCACAGCACCCTCAAGCGGTCTATTAGTGACTCTACACTTGACGTAGCGCGCAGAGTTTAGCGTTTGAATTTTAATCACGTAGCGCTGACGTCACTCCCAAATGTTCCAATGGCGAAGCTTGGCTCGTGTATATTAATTAGGTCGTGACGTTTCGCCGGGTAACTTTCCAATGGCTAGGTCTACCTCATGAATATTAAGAAATGAGCCTTCGCCTTGGTAGGATTCGTGATTCACAAATTGTGTTGAATTTAGCATATCATTGTGATCGAACTCAATGAATGGCAGTTTCGTGGAGAATGTGAGGTAGTCTTTTTTACACCCCAAAGGAAAACCATACCCGAGAAAACGTTTTTGTTGATGCTAGTCTGAAGAGGTGTAAGAGGTGTACAGATTGTTTGTTTTATTGTGTAGCAGCTGTGGTGAAACCAGTAATCTTGGATACAGTGGGAAATGACCGCCCTTTTGTGAACTGACTGATGTTTATAAATGATGATCAACTGTTTGGGTAAACTATATGGAAGCCCATTTTTGCCTCATAAGAAAAAAAAACTTTGGTAAATCATAACTTTTAGAATAAATTAGATAATTGTGAGATTATGATATTAATATTAACAATACATAGAAATTAATCATCATTATTATTTTATGATTATTATTATTATTAATAATAATACGATAAAAATAATTATATATAATTATAATTAGATAAAATAATAATTATAACAAAGTTGAATTTTGTCAAAATAATGATTTTTACCTAATCATTTGACATTTTATATTATAATTAATTTGATCTCATTGTCAACTTTTTGTCATGATTTTGACTTTTTTCATAATTATTACTTTTTATCTAATAATTTTGGCTTTTTTATCATAATGATGACTTTTGTCGTGATTTTGACTCATCTCATAATTTCAATTTATCTCATAATTTTACATTTTTTTGTAATAATTTCAACTAATTTATGTAATAATTTTATGTAATACCAATTTAATTTATATAATACCAATTTAGGTATTTATGACCTTTATGTCATGATTTTGTCTTTTTAATGTAATAACCGACGTTTTATCTCATCATTTTTATTTTTAATGTCATAACTATGATTTACTATAGCATGACTTATTTTCTTTTGTGCCAGAAATGGGCTTGTTTATAAATGATGCCCAATAATCAAATTTCAACTGAAGCTAGAGCTACTGAAGTTTGTGTAAACCAGGCTTTTGTCAGTTATTTTTATGACATTTTTCCACTATCTAACTGTAATGTCCTTCTCTATTTTGTATGTTTTTTTTAATGTGTCTCGCCCATTTCTCTACTAAGGAGCTGATGAGACATCCAGAATGTGCAGCATTTTGAGCCACTGTGCTATACCATGGGTTAGTAATTAATCATAGTTAGTCAGGTCACTTCATCATCTCTTCAAACACAGTTTGTCATCATTGTACATTTTTCACATTTTCCCCTTAGATGCTAAACAACAACAGAAATAATGTGAATGTTTCTGGAACTGTACAACTCGCGTGAATATTTAATGAGGTAAGTACTGAGTTTTTGATTCGTTTTCTGTTGCTAAACAACTCTCTCAATGTAACATTCTGGCACAACATTGTCATTCCTTTGTCACTGCAGTTCAGTTACCCCCTCAAAAACAGTGCTAGCCCTGTTCTGAACCATAGCTTTCATAACCCAGGGTTAAAGGTGCTACCAACTCACAGTTGCTTTACTAAGGGCTAAAAGTCTCTTTAACCCAGGGTTTAAGAAGATGATAAACCGGAATTAATGAGAGTGTGAAAGGCCTTATAGTGCAATCATTTTGTCATCCAGTAACTTGTTTAATGAAGAAGCTCACACTTCATTATATATATATATTTCAAGTATATGATTTAAGCTCACCTAAATGAATGTAGGTTTTATATTCCATTTTGGTCTTGTTTTTATTATGACCACGTTTTGACAAGCAAATATTAACTCTCCCAGAGTTATCTATACTCAACAAGTCACCTTTGAAATCTTTTTGTCATATTTGACAGCAGTTTTCATTGGAAACTCATTGGAGCTCTTAACTGAAACCTTTATTTTTGAATTTAAATCTGGTTGGTGTTCCAGTTATCAGCTGAAGTACAGTATTAAAATAGAGGTGATTCAGACAGATTTCCAATAGATGGCAGTATTGTTCTATAATTGTCTTCTTATCCAGGCAATACTGTCCAGAGAGTGATGTGATTAGGATCAGAAGTCCTACACTTTTTATTTATATTTTTACTTAATAAAATATAGTAAAAAAAATATATATGCAGTATATGCATGAAAGCAAAAGATAAAATAAAAATAAAGAATTGATCATCAGAATATTAAATTTTTAATACTTTAAAGTACCAAAAATACAAATCCCAACATCCCAAGATAATTGTGGTCTATTTGTCATTTGTTTTTTATGAAGCTTTTTATAATACTAGATTTGAATTTGAATTTCCAGCCTTCAAGCAACAGTACTGAGGCCCACCATCAAAAAGTGTTTTGATATTCTGATAATTTTTATACTCTTTATTCGTACAGTTATGGATATAAATTGTCTTTACCAACAGTTTATTGCATGCGCAATAAAGAGCTGCTTTATCGCTAACGAAGGCATTTGCGAGTTCTGTTTCTATTTCTAAGTGAGAAACCATTGCAGACGCTCTGTACATGAATAAACTGTTTGAAAAAAAAACATCCTAAATCGTGAACCATTTCAGACCTTTTTGCAAACCCGTTTGACCGATTAGATCAAAAGAGTGATTCGTAAACATTCTGGCATCGCTAGTTCTGATTCTTTACAGCTGATATAAAACACGTCACGACTGCTGTGATATTATCAGGGAAAATGACTGTTAGGTCTGTAATATTTTACTGAGGGTCTAACAATGCTGCTAAACTGAAGGTAGGTATATGAATGATAGGAGAAAAAAGCAATACATAAACGATTTTTAGAATAGATTCACCCTTAAGAAAAGGGAAAGCCACACTCTAAAAAATGCTGGGTTGTTTCAACCCAATGTTGGGTCAAATATGGACTAACCCAACTGTTGGGTTAAAAAGTTCATTTAAAAATGTAACCAAAATTTAACCCAACAGTTGGGTTAGTCCATATTTGACCCAACATTGGGTTGAAACAACCCAGCATTTTTTAGAGTGCAAGAAATGGATTTCATGATCAGGACTGACTGGCAATGCTAAGCAGGATTTACCCCCAAGCACAGGATGGAAAAACAGTAAGGAGGAAATACGGAGATGGAAAGAGAATAAAAAAAATAGGGATGGCTGCCAAGAGTTTAAACTCCTGCATTGCTCTAAAACTGGGGTCATTGAAAGTGAGGAACCGAAAGTGATGCTGACCCAAACACACGGATGCTGTTGCTCTTCATACACAAACACATGCTTTATTGGGGCTTGCAAGCAAATGGGAGCCACTTTTGTGCCTTTATTTTTTCAGGAGAGAAAAAGCGCATTACTGTAGAGAATAAGATTTAAATGCAGACTGGGACTAATAGGAAAATAATTTAACTTGTAAAGCAAGTGAATGCAGATAAGATAATCAATCTGAGCTGAGATGACCATGGAGACAATTTAGAGATGCTGCTTTGTTATGAGTCTGGCTCTGCAGGACATACACTCACATATATTGTTATTTACCATTAGGGTGAATTAAAGTAATTAATCGCCATGTGGACTGAAAGGCTCGACTATGGGGTGCTTCTTTTGTATGTCTATCAGATAATAATGATCTTGGTATTGAGTTTAGTTAATGGAGTGTGTGTGCTGAGTTATTCGGCTGTGAAAGGGCTCCATTAGCTCGAAGATTGCTCCGTTATTTATTTGCTAAAATTGTTTTGATGAATCACGGTTTCGTTCTTTTATTCTTTTGTCCTGTTTCCCTCGCTCATTATTGACTTCAGGTGTGTCTTCACGGATCAGTTCACGATTTTCTTACAGGGTTTAGAATGTCACTACTTCCTCTGTAGAGACTTTCTGCTTAGTCTTGTGCTGAAAAAACTTTTCAAATTTTGCAATCAATTGTTTTACGCTTTTTAAATGTATCATTACGATTCAAAATCCTGTTTATTGGACTTTGAAGAACAAAAATACAAAGGCTTATTAGCGCATGTGGTGCAGCTTGATTACATCATGGATCCAGGTGTCTTTGTTTCCTGCAAACTGTTTATCGACGATGGCTGTTGCCTATAATGAAATGATAATAAGTGCCCTGACAGTGGACGGTTGAACTGCCCTAAACTTGCAGCTGTGGGTTTCTGATCATTCCCATTAAGGCACAGATCATGACCCTCTCTTATGAACAGAAGCCAGAGTTTTGGGTGAATGGAGAACTTTAACATTATTAACCTTTGTGTTGATTGAGCAAATTGTGCAGAAATTCCATCAGGTGAGAGTGAGTCTCTCCTTTTCATGATTTATTATTAATGCAATGATGCTTGAAAATATACTTTTCAAAAACTCTTTAGAAAAAACACACACATGTACAGTTTAAAGTATGCATTATTATTTTTATTACTGTAATTTTATTTGTAGCAATTATTATTTATTACATTTCTATTTATTATTAAAGGGGTCATATGATGCTGCTAAAAAGAACATTATTTTGTGTATTTGGTGTAATGAAATGTGTTTCCAGGCATGACGAAGCGATATCGTCCTCTTTTGGAAGGCCAAACAAAGTAGTTTCGCTTTCACAACAAAGCACACAGCACCTTCACGACATGGCGGCGGCGGCAACAATACTACAACGAGAATAAAAGTTACGACTTCTTTCTTTGCGTGAACATCTGGGCGGCGTTATGCAAATCTTCCCACACAGTGACGTAGGTATGTGGGGGCGTGTTAGAACGAGCCGTTTTAGGAGGGCGTGGCTGACTTAACTTTTATAAAGAATATCTCTTTGGATTTGCAACTTTACAGATCTTCTTTATGCACCAAGAGCTTGTAACACTCCAAAGAGAAAGGAAAAATTGAAAT